GCTTTTTTTTTTTTTTTTAACTTAAGAAATTTTTTGAAGTGGAGAATTAATAGTGTCTAAGTGCGAAATTTAAATTTTCATGTCCTAACACATCTTTTCAAAGAAATATGACTACTAAACTTCTTAACGTTGGACGCTTTAAGACTTGATTATTGGTTCGGGGATTCCAAGAGGACAAAGATTTGTTTTTTAATACACTTGAATGCTTGAAATCTGTGGTGCTCTAAGTCCCACTATTGGAATAGAAACAAGTTGATGACAGCGATTCTTGATTGGATTGCTGTTGTTGGTTTTGCATTATTGGTGATTATCTTATCCGTGAGTAACTGTTTTGGGTACTGGTTTTTGTTTGAAGTTCTTCCTATTTTCTGTGTTTTTGCTGCCGTTAAGGAAAGAGAGACTGAAAGAGGGGGGTGGGGGGTTTAATTATTAATAAACGAAGAAGAAAGGCAAATAGAATTAACAATATCAATGAAGTGATTTCTTAAACAAGTAAACTTTAAATATGTTTATGATAGATTTTATAAGAGTTTTTTCACTAAATCAAGATATAATTTAGGATTATCACTCTATTAATAACAAAAATAAGACAAAATTACCATAAAGTAATTTATCTAAATTTTAACTTTTAAAAGGTGATTTAATTAGTTAAAAATTTTATATTTTAAATTAAAAAATTTATATTTAAATATTAAATGAATGAAGAGGTATTTAAAAAAATATCTTTTTTATATAATTTATTATCAAAATAAAAAAATGTACCCAAATTTTATTTTTATTTTTTATTTTTTTGAACAAATTTAAATTATTTACCTATATTAATTAAAAAATTAAAAAATCATAAAATTCAAACATATCATCCACATGTGGACGATCTTAATCAGATCCATATTATTGGATAAAAATGAGCTGTTTTATTTATTTTTTTTTTTTTGTTACGGCCAACAGTCCAAGTTTTAATTCGTTACCATTACATTATTTCAGTCCATCTGAAAGAGAGCAAATGGTAAAAAGAGGTCAGTCAATTATTAATTTATTTAAAGCACGTCTTTTTTTTTTTTCATTTTTTGATAAAAGAGAGTAGCACAAAAAGATCTTAGGGTCTGGGGTAGCTAACCCCTACATAATTCTATACACAAAAGATCCACTTCTGGTGGACATTCATACAGAATATTTAAACCATGGGAGCTAAAAAGCACATCTTTTTAGATGGATTATTTAAAGCACGTTTGGTTTGTGGTTTGGTAGGTGACGTTTTCTTTTTCTTTTTTTCTTTTTTTTGTGGACTTGTCTAAAATGTATTTAAAAAAATATTAATTATATTTTTATAATTAATTTATATTAATAAATAAAAATTAATTTTAAATTAATCAATTATTAAATTAAAATCATTTAAGTGATATTAATATTAAATTATAAAAATTAGAGTTATGATGTTTTGTTATATAATATTTAGAAAAAATATTCTGTAAATTAAATTATATTAAATTATATAATTTAAATATTAAATAAAATATAAATATCTTAATATTAAAAATTATCCCCTATTCAATAATCTTGTTTTGTGGTAAGAGAGAATTCTAATATGCAAAAATAAAAAATCAAAACGTCCTAATATGCACCAAGCCATCAAATCGTATGGGTCTCAATTTAAGATTCGCGCAATAAATGGTTTGATAGACATCTTAACAAATCTAGATGTCTTAAAAATTTGAAGATCTTTTTAATATTTATATAATAAATGAAAAAGTTTATTTGTCTCTATACGAATCAACAAACTATGGATGTTAATTGAAAAAATGTGTCAAGTAATTTTTTCATTAAAAATAAAAAATGTTAAATTTAAATTGTATTATATATGAGTAAAATAAATTAAACAAAGAGAATTAATTTTTTGTGTAATTCAAAAAAAATACATGTTATATTAAATTAATAAGAGTATGCATATAGGTTCCTACAAAATAAGGAAATTTACTACAAAATGATTTTTAAAATTTTTTTATACATACATAAACTTAAGGACGTGGAAGTCACGTTTCGCCTCATAAATCATTATATAAAATGCATTGTAACTCTTTATCATAGTCATATGAATTATATAATAAAATAATTCTAAATCATTGTTTTATATTACTATTTTGATATTAAACTTAAAATCTTTAACTTTGTTGATAAAATTGTTAAATTTTATGTGAGAAACATTGATCAAACTATATGAACTACTATGATCAGCAATTGAACTTATATTATATATATCTTGTAATATTGACTTTGATGATCCATGTAAACAATGTCCCTCGTGCATGTTAAGGAATGAGTTGGAACCCAATGTTTAATAAAGTAATTAACATTTCTATCTAGAATAACCCACACAAGTGCCGTGACATGTATCCCACAACAAAACCCACCAACTAAAACACAACAAATTGCACCTTACATGCTAGCTTACATCATGAACCAATTGCTAAAATTCCACTGCCAATTCCATTCACGTCCTTTTAGCGAGGGGGAATCACTAACCATATTCAGCTACTAATAAAAAGTCTTTTGTTTAGCTTAATTTACCCAAAACCAGCATCATTCCTTTTTTCTTCTAAACTAGATATGGAAGCAATCCTCTATCTAGACTCTTTCTTAATTTCCTTGAGTCTCTTCTTCACCTTAGGTTACCATGCCTATCTGTGGCACAACATCAAGAACAAACCCTCTACTACCTCAATTGGACTCGACGCTTTGAGGAGGAAGTCATGGTTTCAAGACATGAAAGAGGTATGCTCTTTATATCCATACAAAGCATATATAGTAGTGATTTTATTTTATTTTTGATAAATCTAATAATGAATAATATAATGATGGATAACATTCTCCTTTTTCCCAAATCCATAAATGCCTATCTCAAAATTTAAATACAAGATTTTTAATCTAAGGTTTTGATTTTTTTCCTGGTTGAGACACCCTCTTGGAGGCGAATTTGACTATTATGTTTTATAGGGTGATCACAAGAAGGGATTGCTTGCTATTCAGAGCTTGAGAAACACTTTAATAGGAACAATATTCTCAGCTTCAGTAGCGATCCTCTTTAACCTGGCGTTGGCAGCTTTGACCAACAACGCATACAATGCTAGCCACTTCTTCAGAAGTGAAATTCTAGGGTCACAATCTAGCAAGATCTATGCCCTGAAATATGGCTTGGCCTCACTATTTTTGTTGGTCAGCTTCTTGTGCAGCTCCATGGCCCTTGGTTACTTAATTGATGCAAATTTCTTGATAAATGTTGATGAATCTTGTGAATTTCCTTCTCTTGAATATCCAGAAATGATATTTGAAAGAGGGCATTTGTTGGCTTTGATGGGTAATAGGGTCCTGTGCATTACATTTCCTTTTTTGTTGTGGATGTTTGGTCCCTTGCCTGTGGCAATAGCGTCGGTGGCTTTGGTTTGGGGCTTGTATGAGCTTGATTTTGTGGGAAAGCGCAAGCAGAGGAAGAAATCTTCATTATAAGAAGAAAAGATTGGGGTACGGTGGAGTGGTTTTGAATTCTGTAGGGACAGGGGAGAATATGTAAAAGCTTAGGAGCTGTTTGGTTAGAGGTTAATTTTATTAGAAAAATATTTTATTTAAAAAATTATTAAAAAAGTATTATATAAAAATTTGATAAGTTTTATAATAAAGTTTTATTAGATTTTTCATTGGGTTGTACTTTTTTATTTAGTAAGAAATTGATATGGGAAAAATTGATAGAAAAGTTATTAAATGGTTTATATATAGAATAAATTGGAAAAAAACTTTTTGGTGTAAAAAAAAAAAGTTTACAAATTGAAAATTATATCAAGAAAATAAAAGATAAAAATATCACTTTTATCCTCCTTTTATTATAGTATCAATGTGTTAAAATATATAAATAATTTTATAAAAAACACACACAACTGCTCTCTGCTACTCACAGATGCTATGCGAATATGCTTCCTTCGACATTAACTAGGCGTAGTTTGATAATGCTTATGGTTGCAACTGTAGGTTTTTTATTTTTTTAATATCTCAAAAATATATTTAATATTATTTTAATTAACATTTTATATATTTTTAAAATAAAAAAAAAAAACATAAAAACTAAAATATTACAAGGTATTTTCAAACAAAACCTTAGTTTTTAATTCACTCATGTCAAAAAGAGGTAATTTTATAATAGATTGAAGTGTCTGTATTTTTTTTAATAATTAGAATCTTTTTGAGTTAATTTTTACTTATTTTAAAATTAATTTTTGATCAAATAATTTTAAAAACACACCATCTTACATTGACCCATCAACTCATACATTTAAAGAAAATAATTTTATGGAATACTTGTCCCAAAACTTAAGCCATAGACTCTTGTATGTTCGATACTAGTGATAATAAATTAGTCTGCTGATAAAAAAAAGTAAGAAGAGAAAAAAAAAATCAAAATAAGGGCACCCATATAGAGATTAGAGGGAATCTAGAAATAAATCAAAAGGCAAGGCTTTTTGTTCTTTCTTTCTTAGCATGGGTGTGAACCTTTTTTTCCAAAATTAGGGCTTTTAAAATTTTCCATTTTTTCTAAAACCTTAACAAATCTTTTTAATTTCTAATTTTTTGAGTGCCATATAATAGAACTCGATCGTACCCAACCATGACTCAATAATTCCGTCATAGATACAAATTTTTTTTTTTGGGGGTATTTCACCGCCATAGATTGAGATAATCAGTCACTCAGGGACCCAGATATAAGCATTTCCCATTTATGTACGCAACCATGGGTACTTGTTTTACCATGTGTCATATTCACACCCACGGAAATGCAACAAATTTTTTTTCCAAAGATGTTTGCGCAATTTGGATTTTGTGGTGAGGAAGAGGGTCATTTTTCTTCTTTAATCTCTTGTCCTTCCTGAAGGCTTGATGAATCTGCTTTATTGATGTTTCCACACAGGACAGTTCTGTCTCTTGTCTTTGGAATTACTCAAGGACTCAGGGACCTGTCTTTTCCTTGTCCTTTCTTGCATATCTACAAATTTTTTTAGTCAGCCAATAAAATGCAAATGGGGACTATACTAAGATAATCCAGGCAAAGTCTCTATTGGACTGATAATTTTTTGTACCGAAATTTACATAATTATTAAAAATTTTAATTTAAGTTGTTAGTCATCAATACTTCGTTAGTAGTGTAGTTAAATTGTTGCACATGAAAGAAATAATTTTAAGATACTCGTAAATTTGCTTGGAAACATTTCAGCAGCTACATAGAGAAAAAAAACGTTGTTAAATTTTGTTATAATTGGTTTTTTTACCAATGAACAATTTATTATAATTCAGGAGTATAAAGAGTATACAAATCTTTGTATAAAAATAGTATAAGAAATTTGTCATCATACTGACTCAAATACTCTTACATTCCAAATTCACCCATTGGATACCCGGTCTGTCAGTGTTTTGAAGCAGGTATAATACTTGCTCCTATAAGTAAATGTAAACATTTCTCCCTTCCCCCAAAATTTTCAAAGCTCGGAAAAGGAAAAAAACAACTCTTAAAGTTCAAAGGGTTTTCTTTTTCTTTTTTTTTTTTTTTTTTTTTTTTTTTTTTTTTTGTGTGTAAATAATCCAAAGCTGAACAATATATAAAAAAGCATAAAATCTTAGTCCAGAGTTATTATTATACTAATTATGGTAGCTAACCGACAAGATCTATTGCTATAAAATGACAAAAGCAGAATTTATAATTAAAGCTCTGTTTGATACTGTTTTGGAGCACAATGATTATTATGGTGTGGTTGTAGGATTGTATATCTTTTACTACTGTAAATATAAATAGTATTTATAAAATACCAATATTAATTAAAATTAATTAATTATTATAAATATACATTTTAAGATAATATAGTATGTGAAAAAGTGTTGTGTACAATAGCAAGCGAAGCCTAAATTCAATCGGCAATGATATAGAATGCCATGTACAATTATAATCTTACCACCGTATTATTAAATAAGTAAACGACATACATAATATTAAAGTTGAGCACTTACATAAAACAAGTCAATTATATTACAATGTCTCAAATTTCATATCGAGATGAAATTGTAAATATGATTGATTTATAATTATTATTATCAGTTATTACTAACAATTTGAATTTAAGTTTTTTAAGTTAAGTATTGACTTGAAGAGTTGTTAAGCCACTTGCAAGTGTAGCTCCATGCTAACCTAGAGTTCACATTAGTTAACCCATTAGTTGTTAGGATACTCGTAAAATTGTAACTATTTTATTTTTTTTCTTATAAAAAAATCTTTTGGTATTATTGATCATATAATTGTTTAATCAAATTGATTGTTTTTATATAATTTGAAATTTTGGGTGTAACTAAGGACCACATGATTAAGGGTTAATAATTAATGCTGATGTCTAAGTGAAGGTCACCTTCAAATGTAACTCTATGCCTCATATGAAAAAGGCAAATTTACTTAACTTTTATATGCAAATTGGATTTAGTCAATAGTTTTTTGTCATAATCATGCATCATCTTTAAGGGTATGGTTGAAGTTACCTGACCTTTTTTTATTATTATTAAAGGAATTACCTAACATTTTTTATTATCTTTGACGCATGCATTGTGTACACGGTCTCTCCTTCAAAGTTTTCATTCATAGGATAACGAAGTCAATTGTTGTCTAAACTTCTGAAATTTTGTCTAAAATCATTTTATGGTCAAGGATTTCCCACTGTATTTTAACCAACTCTACTCATTGTGGAATGTTCTCTCTTTTCTTATATTACACATCTGAACATAATTACATGGCTAACTAGCTAAACCGAAGTTTTTGTAATAAATTAGGTTTAGAGTTCATGATTTTAAGGTGCAATGTTAAGGATTCAATATCTATTTGATTTAATTATTTTGAATAATTTAATTAGTATTAAACGGTTGATAATATTTAAATTATAAATAATAACAAATATTAATTATCAAATATTCACTATAAATAACTAAACTAAAAGTGCCATAGTTTCAACAGAAATGTTGTGAGTGTTAGAGTATTCCTTTTAACTCTTAATTGATATATTTATCCAGGTTAATATCAGAACTTTGTCTTAATTAATACCTCCAAAACCCCCCTCTCTAAGTTCCAAATCCTAGTGCTTCCTAACAAGATCCATTTTTATTTTTTTTCCTAAAATGTAAAATTAAGAATCATTATCTTATCGTTTAAAACAATTTAAAGTGTAAGATATTTCTTCAAATGTATAAAAAAACAAAACACTTGAATTAAATAATCCACCGGCCAAGTAAAGAGAAGGGCCCATCTTCATTAATCCCTGTCAAAGTTTCTTTCTGATTAAAAAGCTTGTTTCCTTAATTTCTTTCCTAAGACTACCTCACTTATTTAATTCCCTTTTTTCTGTTACGACCTAATCAAAGTTTATCATTTCTTTTTCCTAAATTTGATCTTTTATGACTTGAGAAGGTCACGCAATGCTACTATTTCTTCATCATAGTGTCATTTCCAATTTTCCATCCAACGATCTTTTAAGGTCTTTCATGTAATTATCATGTCAATCCCATCCACATCAATAATATACAATAAATTCATACAACATTAAAAGTGATATTATATATATTTAATTAATTTTACCTTATGTTAAAAATTAAGATATACACAGACAATATTATTGCAGAGCTTTTTAATTTCACAACTAGATCATGATTATGGCTACATTGAAAATGGTTAAAGTCACACATATATTGTTATTTTTTCATAAAAAATTAATTATAGTATTAAAAATTATTAATTTATAAATTAATTTAATTTATAAAATAATAAATATTAATAATTTTATTATTTATCAACTAATTATTATAATTAATGATTATTTTTAATAATGACTAAACTGATTCAATATTTTAAAATATAATATACGGAGTACAAAAAATTGTGTACGCTTAACGTTTCTTAAGGTGGGCCGAACCATTGCCCCACAACTGCAGCTACAGCTACGTGTCTTTCCTTTCTTCATTCACATTAATTTTTAACTTTTTCAAAGCACACCAACCGGCATCAAAATCTCACTGCCGCACACCTCAATAACATCTTCTTTGTCGTCATTGTTGTTCATATAATGTTGCTCTTTATAAATAATTGTCATGTGACTCATGTCAAAATCACGGCCCTCTCAACTACATGATCGTATACCCTTCCCAAGATCGGACAGCTAAGATCCATACATAGATTCACGGAATCACTACAAACATAGATTATTTGTAAGATTCGGACATTTTTTTTTTAAATATTAAGATGGGTATTTAGATCTTTAATCCAACTAATTTATTTTAAGAAATTAAAAACCTTGAAATTATTTTAGCTTAATTTTACAAACAAAAAGCTAACTCAGATAAAAAAACCTATAATGATGCAAAGACATCATCAAAGAGGAAAGAATCGATAACCCCAGAAAAGACATCTAGGGGCGGCTCAGACTCGGGTGACGACAGCATCATGATGCCACCTGAGGTAATCTCCGGGGACAGGAGATAATCCGACTTTGTGGTCGTCGACGATGATTGATGGTGCTGATCAGTGATGAGTTCGGTTGGTATGTTGTCCTTGTACTCCTGTTTTACCGATGAGAAAGATGAGAAGGGGCTCTGTGTTTTAACGCCGGCAGGTGTAGCAGCCGCCGTAGCAGTGCCAGTTTCGAAGTTGAGCAAGAAGGAAGAGTCTGTGTGTGTGGAGGCGGAGTCAAGAAGGAGCTGAGAGGCGTTGAGCAAATTCATGCAGGTGTGGTGGCCGTAATATACGATTCGGTACTTGGGTGGATTGTCCTCAATTTGTTGGACTTGCTTCGTCGCTGGGCAGCTCTGATCAAACTTGTGCGTGCACCTGTAGTAGCTCCTGCAATTTTTATAAAAATAATAATAATAATAATTTGTAAGTCATGTTTCCACTAAATTTACAAAAATTACAAACCAAAAAAAAAATTTCCTTGAGTATGTATAACATGCCATGAGCAAAGGTTATAAAAAAATGAACTATTAATTTCTTTGGCGAATTAATTAAAAAATATACACACAACTTTTTTTTTTGTGTCTTAATCTCACAACTTGCATAATTTAAAAAACCAACTTGATAGTAATCTTGTTTAATACTCTATGATTATTATAAGATTATATTGTAAAAAGAGAAAAAAAAAAACTTGCATAATTTAATAAGCAAATGAGATTATAATGGTTAAGTCTTAACTGAGTAAAGAAAATTGTGGAATTTTAGTTGTTTTCAACTTGAAATAAATTTTAGTCATTTTCAAAAAAAAAAAAAAAAAATGGTCAATTCTGAATTGAAAACAACTTGAAATAAATTTTAGTCATTTAAAAAAAAAAAAAAAAAAATTGGTCAATTCTGAATTGAAAATAAAACGTCTTAAATTCAAGTCACGTTATAATAAAAAAATTATTATCTTTTCGTTATATAATTAAGATTAAAAGAAAAAAACTTTTCTTCTAAGCAAATTATATTGGGTATTATACCTTGGGTGTTTGGCCTTAAGGATATCTTTCTGCCCATATTTTCTCCAAGAATGGCCGTCGTCGATAAGACTCGTAATCTCTTTTACCCATGAATCCACACATCTCCTGAAAAATAATTAAATTCCAAATTTCTTATAAATTCTCAAAAATTAATTTCAATATTTTTTCGATCCCAAAAAATAAAAATCGTCGGTTTTTGGTTTACCTTCGCTTGTAACATCCTCTTCCATCCTTTCGCCTTGAACTCTTAATGCTGTCGCCGGAATCCTCCGACTTAATCCTCAGATTCTGTGAAACCTCGTCTGGCTGGTTGCTACTCAACATCGCAATAGAGTTAGCAAACGAGCTCAAGATTTTCTCGACCAGAACCAGATCTCCGGTTCCCGGAGTTTGCCTTAGCAGATCCTTCAGTTCCTTGGCCGATTTACGGCCTTGGAGAAGCTCCTCGACCGCCTTCCTCCGGTAGCCGGACAGATTTGGGGATTCCATCTGATGATTTGCTCAATTGAGTGTGAGGAAACGAGGGAGCTGCTTTCTACTCGTATATAAACTTGGGGAAATGCGAGGAAGAAGATAGGAACGGAGTTTGGAAAATTCCTCCTATTTTCCCGGCGCATGTTCCCCACGTGCGGTTAATGTAGTTTTCCTCGCTATTAACGGAAAAGTCTTCCCGTTAGGAATAATTACACCCTCTAGAAGTTTGAAAAAAAAAAAAAGGTACTCTAGAAGTTTGAAAAAAAATAAAAAGGGAACAATTATGTAGTAGGCTCCTGAAATTATATTTACAGTTTAAATTTCAAATTTGGTCCATAACTATTAAGACCTCTTTACCAAGCTTTTTGATTGTTTTTGTATATTTGATATATAATCTATATAACATAAGACAATTCTTTTCTTGTCCCAAAAAACTCTCTTCCCTTTCCATGTTTCCCCTCCCAATTGAAATGGTGAAACTTTTGATGGGGCATTTGTTTCAATGGTTGGAGATCTATTGATAATTGTTATATTTTTAACCGCTGAACTTTAGTGTCTGGATAAAAAATTTAGTTGATATCTAATAGCCATTAAATATTAGAGGCTTTAACGTACAATTGTTTATTGTAACATTTAGCTAATATCTTTTATGTATAACATTTAGCTACTTAAAATTTTAAAATTATATTTTGACTATTCTATCTCTATAATTTCAACTAAAAAATCTCCTAAAATTTTTAACTATGTTCCAACTCTTATCCTTTACTTCGCTACCTACTTCAATTGATAAACCCTAGGAAAAAAAATATACTTTCTCACTTATCAAATCCCATCATCATGTGCAAATCTCTTTTTTTTAAAAAAAAAAAAATTATACCCTTACATTGTCTCAAGTAGTGGAATGAAAAGAAATGCTCATTTTAACATTTTTTTCTATTCCTTTTAATCTCCTCTAAACTCTAATTAAGTGACTTATGTTAATAATACAAGGATATGGTGCTATTTAGATATTAGATATAAATAATTATGAAGATACAATTATGTCTTTATTGGTAATTTAACCCATTAAGAGTAACAGCTAACAATTATATAATCAAACAAAAATTGCTAATAGCAATAACTATTGGCTATCAGTTAACAACAACCATCCACTGTCAACTATCAATTAATAGTTATCCACTATCAGTTATCAATTTCATTACAATAGCTCAACCAAACAATCCCTAACTTATAGTTTCTAAAGAGTTTAAGGTTTTTACTAGTTACACAAAGAACCAAACAACTTGTTGATTAAGATCCAAAGTTAATGCTTGCATACAAACATTAGTGACCTATTATCACACTTCCAAATTTGACATATAAATTGACATGGATTAAATAATTAAAATGGATTTTAAAAGACCAAACGGCAATATTTTGTTTATTGCATTTACAATAATTTGCATTTCAATTAGGGATTTGATAAGATAGTAAGCTAATAGATCATTCACTTAAACATTAGATCATGTCTAACCTAGCATTAAGTGTGAGCTTTAAATCAACAAGTAACAACTATGCAATGTTATTAAGAGGCCTTCATGGTAACTAACTAAATTTGGGATTAAATGATGAAAAAAAAAATTGAAAGTTTAGAATCTTGAAGGAATTCCTTTAGCAAAATTATAATTTGTGATAGGGTTAGAGCCATTTGACTTTTTATATGTGCTAATAAAGAATTTAATTATAAAAAAGAATAAAATTTTAATGAGTTTGATTTACTTTTTATAGTTTTAGGTCAATTTAAAAGAAAATAGACTTTTTAAACTAAAATTATAATGACTACGAGTTTGATTTGCTTTTGAAGTTTCAAATCAATTTTTTAAAAAAATAAAATTTTTAAACTGAAATTGTAATGAGTCAATAGTTAATGAACTAAAGATTAAGTTTCCTTTTTTTTTAATCGGTACCAAAGAAGTAAAGACAAATCTTGCTCGATTTCTACCTCAAGCAATTAGGTGATGTAACGGCGTCAATCTTGACGTTAACGTGGAACGAAAGGTTAAGCGCGTGTAATTTAAGCAGCGTGGAAAGGTTAGTTTTCGGCATACGAATGGTGGGTGACGTTATGCATGCAACGTCATGTAATGGTATTTGTTTTTAAAAAAAAAAAAATTCCAAATTGAAATATTTTAGATAATTCATTAAACTTCACAAAAGCAATGCGACAAGACTATAATAACCTTAAAGAGAACTTGATTTAACACGGACTTTATGGTTTAGGAAGAAATTTATGTTTCATTCAGGGGCAAATTGTGCATCTAAATCTAACGTTGGAAAATCTTTCTTCGGTTTGGATAAGTATGAGGTCAGGAGTGATATTGTGTGAGAGAGCAGCATCATTGTCTTTGTAGCGTAGTCGTTTATAGACGATTTGGAGGAGAGTGCGCTTCCATGAAAGTTAGATGGAACTATCTTTTTTCACTTTTCTGTCTATTTTGAAAATGAGGTAATTATAATATTATATAATATTATAAATGTATATTATAATATATTATTATTTAATTATTAAATTTTTTATTTAAATTTTATTTATAATATTATATTTATTTATTTTATTAAAAATATATTTACTTATTAAACAATACAATATATTTATTTAGTATTATATTATAATTATAAATTTATAATTTTACCTAATATTATAGCAATTGCATTTTCATTTTCATCTGCATGTAAATGGTTTGGATTTATAATTTTTTTTTATTTTTATTAAAAGAAGATTTTTACGGCCAACAATTAAATGGAGTAATTGAAGGACTATTTGTTAGTTTTTGAGAGATTTATGTTGAGATAGGGATTTTTTCTAATACATATGCATATATATATATATATATCTGTGTATATGTATATGAGAATTTATTTATATATAAATTGTATATATTATATTTATATAAAATCTTGATAATTCATCTTTTTACTTTCAATAATTAAAATTTAT